CACGGATATTTCACATTTGTGCAACAAAACGTGGTGGGCTGTGCGGACCACCGCTGGCTCCCCACGATTCTTTCTCTGTGATTGACTGAATGTGTGATGACGCAATCATTCGTGCCGTAAAATCCTAACACGTCATCATTTGTGCCGTAAAACGCTCGATTATGAACGATTTCGTGCTACATAAAAGGCCTTTTATAATGCTGGTTTACAAAAACGTGTATTACAGGACTAGTTTACTAACTTCCTTATGCAACATGCGGCACTGGAAGTGATTTTTTCTGGGGGTAGGTTTTACACATTTTAGATTTGCTGGTCTGCTTCTCTTTGGCAATTTATTGTTTAATCTGTGTAGCAATTTGTGCCGAATAGTGCCGCATAGGGTATGCACACCCGAGGTACGCTCGGCTGTTTGTCTCTTTGGGTGCTGCGAGTGCGGCCGTCGTGGGTCGGCGAGGGCGGGCGCGGGCGCGGGGAGCGCGTGAGATCCGCGACAGGGCCGGCGGCGGCGGCGGGGGCGGGCAGATCCGCGTTGACGTGTGGGTTGCGACCGAGGGCGGCCTCTGCTTGTAAGCGAGAAGCCGTCGGGAGCGCGACACATCGCGATAAAGACACTTCGCGCGAGTTATATCGCGTCGACAGCGCCCCCGCGCGCCGCCGCGTGAATGCGAAGCCTGCGCTGACGCCCGCCAGGGGGCGACACGCGTCCAACTCCCCGGCGGGCAGAGGGCGGCGAGGACGTAGTAGTTCAGCCTCCACGTGTTGGGCCACGCAGCATGGAAAGGGCAACGGTTGTGAAGCGGAGGGCTATGTAAAAAACATAACACTCGATTCCTACGTTTGAAAAGTAAATGTGTGTTTCAAAGATAAGAGACACCAGTGCATAGAGTGCAGTTTTCGGCACTCGAAGTTTAACAGAAGTTATGAAACCATTTTAAAATAACGTCTATGAATCAATGAGTTCTTAGTGTTTCCAGGCGCGTCATTAGTCCCGTGAGTGTAGTGCATGTTACCGGAAGTGGTGTTACACAGTTGAAACGTGAGTTCTGGTTCCGACATATCGGCTTGTGACACTTTACACCTTCTGAGGCACCGCCCAAACCTGAGCAAGCGTTAAGCTCTCAGCTGATATTTCGACGCGTGCGATAGTGTTGTTCATGAAAGTGTAAGTGTATTTAAGTAAGGGATGACGATAGGGTAAGGAAAGACCGCGCTCTGTTCGTTGCCCGTTTGGCTCGTATCCCGCTAAAATGCTGCTCGAGCATTCGTCTGAAATTAATCAAAGAACCCACGGAAAACTACTGACCAAGGCAGCCGACCGCTAGAATTCTCCTCGAGACAGTGGCTAAAAATAAATGTCATTTGATTATATTTTCCGTACAATATTTCTTGTATCGTTATTATTCTACAGTGCATATTTTAATAAGGTAAACTAAGGATACTAGTTTGAAATATTGAGTTCAATTGCAAGTATTGTGATATAATTTCTGTACTATAGTTTCGAAAACTTTGTTTAATAAATATTAAAAACAAAACATTTAAATGTTTCAATAACTTTCTTCTTTGATGTTTATTTTAATTGTTTTTAATAATTTGTAGCAGGTGATTACAATTATTATAATTGTTTTCAGTTATCATAATACACGGAAACGCACCCACACTTAGATTTTATAAAAGAATAAACTCAATTTTTGTAAAAAGATTCATTCATTTTTCAACATGTACACGTATATTCCATCAGATATACTCACAGAACTCCGAAATAAAACAATGTACTTTTCTCACAATATTGTAATCTATATAATATAATGTAAAATTTTCAATCTGAAATAACATTTCCAATTTGTCATTTATTTCGGTCCTTTTTGTTGCGTATTTATTGCCTCATAGAGAAATGGCGTTGGTATAGAAAAAAGATTGAAGATTCAATAAAAAAAGTCACATATTATGTCGTAGGCGGTACGATATCAGTGATTAAAAGTACACAACTTGTACAAATATGAGTATCAAATCAAAAACCATCCAAATACTCAGTGCCCTATTCAGTTCTGTAGTGAATTGAATATTTTTGTAAATGTACGATTCAGTTTCGTTAAAGAATTACTTTGGCTTAGTCTTGAGACTATACGATTCGTGATTGTGGAAACGATATGATTTTTAACATAAAAAGTGTAATTCTCTGCTGGAGTCAGATCTGTTCAGATAGCATAGAAATAATGAATTTTTCCAATAGTACTTATTCATTGTTTATTAGCCCGACCAATTATGCTAATTCTACTATCCGCAACAATAAAGAGACACATGAAATTACAGTACAGGTATTATATTACGTGAATGTTATATAATTTATTTTTCTGATATATGTAGTACTCTAATCCAACAAGAGTTTCAGGATAATATGGATTTCTAAATTGAGCAGATTTATGAAATATATATCATTTCAAAATGACGTGATGGAGAACGTTAATTTGTGTTGAGGCTTACTGATTCATTTAACGTCAGATCGAGCGTGTGGGAGATATTAAAAGCAAAGAGAAGAATTCATTGCCATGGTTTCAGAGGTTTAATCCTAGTAGCTTAATTATAACATCAAAAATACATGAATGTCACATTCATACGGAGATTTCGAACCATGTACACAGTAATTAATTTTAATTATGAAAAAAAAGTTTCATTTTTGTGTGTGTGTTGATTTTTCTATTTGTTAGAACCGTTGATTTAAATAAATGCACATTGACAGAGTAGTTAATTTGACGTTTTCGTTAACAACAGTAATATATTTCCAAAAAGTGTAATAAAATACGATATTACGTGTACTTTACACCACACGAACGAAAGCTATGAGTTGTTTGATATATTTTGTATTTGTTATGTGCATTAACATGTTTCAGTATTGTAAATGTAAACGTATAATTGTCAAATATATTAATACTTTGTACTAATCTGGTATAAAAATACAAAAAACAAAATTAACTTTGAGTGTGGAGTGAATATTTACACATTATATATTGAGAAGATCTAATGATGATCACAGTAGGCTTTCTTTAAAAATATCAATGTCTTAACCAGTAATTTAATTATGATTACTTTAGTAAGTAGTAAAATGCCCTACAAATTTACAAAACATACTTTTAGAACATATCTTAAGAACATACCATTATTTACTCCCGAATATTCATAATACGTTGAATTAAAACCATTACTTTTCAACGGCACAAATCTTTGAAACTATATAGTCTTCTAAAAAATTTGCAATATTTAGCGCATACATCACGCACATTGTAGAATGTAATGTACATAATATATTGAATGCTTTGGTAATTGAAACAACATATTTTGGAAAATCGAAGATAAACCCTGTTCCTATCTGCAATATTTTTGTCTCGTACTAAATTGCATCTATTCTTAAAGACAAAAAAACCGTAATAGGAGTTCTCCTCTGAAACATTTCACCCCAGGAAGGATCAAGGAGACAACTCCTGTTATGCCAATTTTCTACACATTACCTTGAGAATATTCAAAAGCCAGAGGAGCTTCGTTAGCTTAACTGACCCCGCTAAAGAAGGGATTGGTTATGAGGGTCTAAGTGAATATGAGAGACGATCACATGACGAGCTGAGCCTTGTGGATAACGTGCGTGCTTGTTTCGCTCTGACGATTGAAACAGCGTAGGAAGAGTGGAAGTCGGTAACGGCGCGAGTAATGGCATCTTTAAAAGTGTGAGCGATAGTGAAGGTGAGAGAGTGTGTGGCAGAAAGTGAATGTGAAAGTGTGAGTGAGAGGGTGAATGTGAATGTGAATGAATGAGTGAATGTGAATGAATGAGTGAACGTGAATGTGAGTGAGTGAATGTGAATGTGAGTGAGTGAATGTGAATGTGAGTGAATGTGAATGTGAATGTGAGTGAGTGAATGTGAATGTGAGTGAATGTGAATGTGAGTGAATGTGAATGTGAGGGTGAGAGCGTGAGTAACAGCGGGGACGCGCCCAAGAGCGAAGGCAGTACAAGGCAAGGGCGAAGATCCGTTTAGGCGGGGAGACAAAAGCGGATGCCCTGCACGGGCAACAGCGGGCTCCGCGAGGGGGGATGGGGTCTGAAGCCCGAGCGGAGCGTCGTCGCACGCCACTCCGGGGCGCGGGGGCGGCTCCACCAGAAACAAAGGGCGGTGTAAATCGGGTCGTGTGGGCGACGACGGGGGACGCGCAGGAGAAGGTGCTGAAACAAAGCTTTGCTGCCGCAGCCGCGCGATACACCCGGCGTACCACAAGGCTACTTAGAAAGTGCCACTAACATCTTCGTCAAAACTGTGTCTTTATATTAATTAGATCGCTAGTGAAGTAGATACCATTTAATAATTAAATATGGTTAATTAGTGGTGGTGTCTGGTATCAACAATTTATTTTCCTAATGATCGTTTCGGTCGCGTAGAGATCATACTCAGTGCTTGCAGCTTCCGGGCCGAAGACAAAGTTATGCTGAACGAAGCAAAGTTCTGCAGAACTTTGTTTTCGGCCCGGAAGCTTCAAGCTCTGACGATTATCGCTACGCGATCGGAACGATCATTAGCAAAACAAATGTTTGATGCCAGACAACACCTTTAATTAACCATAATTAACTGTGTCTATATATTTTATCATTTTATAAGAATTGTGCATTTTCATTTGAATATATATTGTTTATAAACATACTATGAAATAAATATTTTTTAAATATCATTTTAATGCACCTTGCAGCAGAACTGAACTTGATATTATAATAAAGAGGTTAATTACAATGAAAATTAAATCTCATGTGCATTGCAAAATAATATCAGATTTGTGAGTTCAAAAGAGGATATTAAAGAAAACCTCTTCAGATGCAATGCGAAATGAACGCTATGTACCGAGGGAAAAATAACATTGAAACAAGAAAATATGGCTGTAAGAATCTATGTGCTGTAATAGACAAGGGTAATGTTATAAATATACAAATTTATAATAAATAATTAATAATTCATTTCCAGGTCTGATGTTAGTTGCGGAGTTGCGGATGCGGGGTTGCAGCTAAAAGACAAGACAGCACAAGAATCGCACTGAAAGTAAGTCTTGTAAATACTAACTCTTTTCCGTAGAATTATTCCTACGGCAAATGTTTTCAATGATCGTTTTTTAATTTCTGAAATTATCTCTTATTTATGAGTGAAACTGATTACTTTCTACAGTTGCGCTTAAAGGATGAACATTGATATATCGTTGAATCCGATTTCTTAGACACACGGTGCTATCGTACATAATGAGTGTTTATCGGCTACTGACAACACTGACATTTACTTTTTTTATAGAACTTCATGAAATTAGACAGTTGGTAAACGAACTTACAAATTACATTAAATAGGACACGAAATAAGAATAAAGGTAAAAATAAAAATACAAGAGTATATAGGGCATTGATGAGAATCACTTTGCTTGAAATAAGGATATTGTCAATAAAGGAAAAAGTGTTTTTAGTTTAAAGAATTGTTTGCTTTAGTTAAAAATGTCTGTTCAAAACTAAAGGGCCAAATAGAACAATCGTGAATATAATAATATATATAAAATTGGTATTGCCTCCATACTGCATTCAACTTTTTCAAACGGCTGAAGAAGCTCATTGATGTAATTGTAGTGCCCCAGGTTTCTAGTCCTGACGGCGACAAAATTTTTGACACAAGCTAGAGAGCTAGATTAAATTCAGTCGCTGTCTACACAAGAATTCTTACAACCAGCTGCTCGGTCCGATAGTTGTGTGATATCTTCGATATATACCAAGCGAATAGCAGTATCCTTCCAAAAGAGCCAAGAATCTCACGCACTCTCTCCTTCCTCTTCCTCGTCCTATCCTCACCCTTACTTAAGGAACTTACAGGCACTTACAGACACTTAGTTGCACTTAAAGCGACTTACAAGCACTTACTGCATATATGAGTAACGAGAGATAATACGCCAAATGTATGAAAACAGCACATTGGATGGGATGAAACTCGCAAATGGAATATCGCGGTTTTAAGAGATGAAGCCAATTAATTCATTAAATAAATTAAATCGGGTACAAATTCGACCTAAAACTAAAAACCTACGTTTATACACTTTAAGGGATATTGCAATACAGAAACATAAAACAGTAACTTGTAATGCACTCTTTTATTAAAATTTTAAAGTACTCAACATTCAATAATTCAACATTTTTTAATAATAGTCATTGGATACTTATTGATATGCATTTGATTTTGAAATGTCAATACCATAAAAGAGCATTTTTATTCAAATGTTAACATTTTATACCTAACATGTACCATTTAAAAATGATAAAAATAAAACGTTGTCTTCATATGAAAACATTTTTTCAACCAGTCACACTGCGTGTTATTTTCCTCCAATTAATTGCAGAAGCTCTGTGCAACTTTAATTAAGAGAAGTGACAAATTCTCGTAAAACGTGTAACTAAGTATTTATGTGAAAAACAAATGAGAATTAAAATATACAGTAAAAACTCTGTTTAATATATATTCTCTGGTTATATCTATAATAATGGTTAGATTTACTACTTCACGTTTATCTTTCCTGAAGTGAGCAATCACAAACGATAAATTGCTCCTCACAATTCATTCAGACGAATTTGTGTCCAAAAACGGGAAGAACTGGTACAGCATGCATTCAATTTAAAAACTAAATAGCTTCTCTTTAACGCAATACACAGAGCAAAACGCGTAAGGTAATCTCTTTCTCATTAAAATTCATGAAATTAGAGTTATTAATAAAACAAACAAAAACATTGGTAGCGTTTTAGTTGTTTAAGTGAAATTGCCGGATTCTTAAACACACCCTGAAATTTCTCCCTCGGTTTTTGCTGCACCTCTGCACTACATCAAAAGCGAAGCCGGTCGTTCCGCCACGCTAACTAGAGCGACGCGCTTCTTTGCGGATAATTCGCGCGTAACGAATTCAATTAAGCCACCTGGGGCGCCAGGCTCGGCGGCGGCGGCGGCGGCGGCGGCGCGAGCCCGAAAACGGGGGGAAGGGTTGGGAGAGGGGGAGGGGATTCCCCGAAATGAAGGGAGTCTCCGGGTGCGGCCACCAGGTGACGACGACACGAATGCAGAACGAGGGCGGCAACAGGCGGCAACGGAAAACGCTCGGGCGTAAGTACGAAACAAAGGAAGGAGTGAAAGGAACATTTAAAACTGTTACAGAGAAGATCTGACAACAATAAATGTTATGAATAAGTAGAATAAGGAGGAGGATAAACTCAGTTATCATAAAAGATGCAGAAGGATAGTAATTTTAATGAAACAAATGTTCAATTTATTTACCGTACGATTTCTCCAATATATTTAATGTAGAAGAATTTAATATTTTTTTCAGATCGATTTCCTAAAAGAAAAACAAATCGAAAAGGCGGAAATTCGAAATTAGATGAAGAGTACTTTCAACGTGTTGCTCCATATTGTAATATAGTGAAACGTTTCTGAACATGCACTCTCATGAGCAAACACCCCTTTAGGGAAGACAATTTTCTAGAATCGGAGCGAAATCGGAATAAGATATTACCTAGTACCTGCTCTCTATAGCGGACGCTTTATAACGGATGTTGCACCCTCAAAATTAATTCGATGTTTCATTCAAGCTTCTACAAACGGTTACTTATTTAGATAGTAGTGATGCTATACACGCATGTACTTTATCGCGTTATTTGTTACGGTTACGTAATATTATGGTATGTGAAGGTAATATGGCTACGTTAAGCGCCTCAAATTTTGTTGTTTATATATTTCCACATTTGGCCAAATTAACGTCATGATGAAATTTGACACTTTTGCTTCACGTTGAAATAACTATATCTCGCCACATAAAATAAGGCATTAATTCAATGCAATATATCACGAAAAAGTGATTCAGAAATATTACGTTGTACAAAAAACACTATAATTTGAATGTAATATGCCCACATGTAGGTTTTATGACTATTGCCAAATTAACTTGTTTTGTTGTAAAATGATCATAGAAATAGAGACAGCTATACCAATATATAATATACATTACACTCTTATAGTCTAATCTTACAAAAATACGGAAATAAATAAATCCTTTTTTAAAACACTGGCGCGAGAGTTTGTAAGAAGTTATAAGGACAGAGCGATTGCAGCGCGCCCATGACAATGAAAGCTCCAGATTGCGATCAACAAATTTGGTAGGTTGTTAACGCACTTCTTACACTCTCCCAGACAGCGTTTCGCGGATCGGAAATAGTTTCAGCTAACATCATAGCCAACACTTGACCATATTACCTGCATTGGCCCTATTTGCATCACTTACCTTATTAATTCCTGGATCCTATAAATGTTTGCCCATATTAGGACTCAAACTCACGTAATAAGCATTAAACGTAGCCAATACACCAATCACCTGAATCGGTGTAACAACTTTCAGCTAATAGAGAAATATCTTGGATGCAAAGAAGTATTTTTCTCAATGTGAATAATAAAAAGAACATTTATTCAATTTTTGCGTGCGTCTTTACATTTTAGAAAATGTAATAGGTATGTAAATGTTTTAATTATTGTTAGTATTTGTTCATTACGTCAATATTGGATATTATATCAAAACTGTCACTTCCCATAGAAATGAACTCCTATTGTGATACTATTATTGAACCCGCAATACACTCCTGTGTGACGGGTAGTCTGTGTAGAAATGTGCCGGGGGTTAAAGCGGAGCACCTGCTGAAATCTTGTATTCATTCACATTTGGAGATATAATATACGTTGTAAAAACATTGCTGATCCAGACGTGAACCAGACTATTATTAATATACTCGAAGAGGGTACATTTCTTATTAATATGTGCAATTGAAGGATTCTTGAAACAACAATAGTCCAAAAACACAATTTTTCGGGAGAATGAAAAAAACGTCCAATGCGAAAATCGGTAGACATTTGAAGCATGACAGTTGTGCATTATCTCAAACTATTGTAAATATAAACGAACGATTGAGTGTAGTTCAAGCTTAAACTCTATTGTGGAAATTATTGGATAAAGTTGAGGGTGTATGGACTAAAGTGTTTTTAATGAGAAATTAGTATATCAAACTTATTTATTTGGGGCAGTAATATTACAATATTTGAAGCAATAATTCAATAAGTTAATGCACTGAATCAATTTGGATTATTACTGACCAACTTATTTTTCTTCGCCACTACTGTTACTATCATTATCAGAGTTTTCGTTTTCCACATTAGCATCTGTCACTGATGAAAAATTTAGATACACATCTCTGTTACCAGATGACTAAAAATTAAGACGTCTGACGATTCCTTTATGATTAAAATGTGCTCCTTCTTCAACTTTTTTGCTGTTACTACATCCTTTTCTACAACTCTTTCCTTTTTTCTTGGGTTTACGCCTCTTCCACTCTATTCTTTGTGCATCTGACTCATAATCCATTTCTTAGCTGTTACTTTCTCCCTTGCTTGTTCAGATTCACAACACAAAGGACGTGTATGCCACAAAAATACAGGGTCGCCAGATGTGTTGCAAACTCCACTACTACGGAATTCCCCCAAGTAACTCCAGTCAAACAAAATTCCCCACCTTTGAAACGCTAAGTATTTTCCAAATTATGGACCAGCGACATGAGCTGTTTCTGGCGAATCCGTTAGCTGTCCCCTTGAATTCAAATACTTGAAATCAACCAATCATTGACCTTCGCGCTTCTCAAAACCCTAGATCATCATTTTTCTAGTTTTCACGTCTGTCTTTTCATTTTTCTCTCGTTGACACATAACAATGAGAGAAAATAAGTTGTTTGTTTCTTTCTATTCATGATAATTAAAAGAATAATATTTATATCTTGACTCTGGATAAAAGCAATTTTCCCCAAAATTTCTCAAAGAATTGCTCGTCTATTTATGTTCTCCATTCTTCCTCTAAAATGAACGAAATGCCCATTTTGGGAACAAAATTCTCCAATATAATAACCCTGCAAGAACAGATTATACATTATCACCAAAGTTTTCAGAACAAAAATGCAGAATATCCAC